GTCTGAAACTATTATATAGCCTGCAGAACAGGCGGATTAGCGGGCTATAGCGCGGTACACGAGCGCGCGCGAAGCGCGAGGCGAGAAACATTTTTCACGCCTCACGCTTCGCGCGCGCGCTCGTGTATCGCGCTAGAGCCCGCTAATCTGCCTGTACTGCAAGCTACTATTATAAAACACTGAAACGTGTAAATGGAACATTTATATTTATATTTATTTATATTTATACATATAAAATCCGTAGGTATTCATATTGAGTAGTCTACATGCTGAACATTTATATTTATATATATATATATTTCCATTCGGAACGTTCCAACCGGAAAAACGGGACTACCTTACCATAAGTTTCGTCTGTCTTGGAAATTTACAATCCAACCGAAATTTCCGGGATTTTTTGGTAAATGGTACCGAAATATATGCTCCGAAATATATGCTCAGTCGCAGTGAATAACCTTTTTGTAACCGTTGGCAACTGGTATCAATTTAATTCCCATTCTTTACTACAGTGGAACCTCGATTTAACGAACCTCTATTTAACGAAGTCCTCGATATAACGAACGATATTCTATGTCCCGGCCAAAGTTACGGTAAAATGTATGGAATAGAACCTCGATATAACGAATTCTTCGATATAATGAACATAATCCGGAAGCCCAAACGTAAAATCTACCTCGATATAGCGAATTACAATGTCAACACGCGACAGAAGATAAACGCTGAACAGATCAACAGTCAATAAATCCTTGTAATCCTTAGGCATAACCTCTATGTTGCAACATTTTTAAATCGCTACTCTGAAAGTGTCGTTCTCTTGTAAACAAAAGCTGCGCGTCTGCTTAAAAGTAAANTCTTGTAAACAAAAGCTGCGCGTCTGCTTAAAAGTAAAAATAATTGATATTGAAAGCCACCATGCTTAATCAATTGCATCTCAGAACGCGGCACTTCTGGGTGACGAAAACTGCATTGAAATGCGTGACAGAAGTCACCTGTGTTACAAATCAATCATTAACTATGACCTCGTTATAAAGAACATTTTGGTCGTTTCCCCTCAAATTCGTTATATCGAGGTTTTCGATATAACGAACCCTCGATTTAACGAACAAATTTGGCCGGTCCCCAGCGACTTCGTTAAATCGAGGTTCCACTGTATCGATAAATCTAAAACTTCGCGAAACAAAAATATATAGACCTAAGACTTCACGCACTTTTAGATTATTCCTCATTCTTTCATCCACTGCCGAGCCTAACGAGCCATTAAATATATAGAGCCAGGCCTTAACGTATATATATATTATTCCTCGTTCTTTCATCCCCCAGGATCCCCTGCCGAGCCAACCTCGGTTAGCCGAGGTCGCAAACTTCGGCCTGTGGGTATCGAACCTGTAGTGAACTCGACAGGTAGCGAAATTGGCGTAAGCAGACCACGTCTACCACGCATCAATGAATACGAAACTGCTTGACTTTTCTATTCTTTGTTTTATTTTCGAAGCTTAACGTTCTTGCACTTTTGGAGGAATATTCGTTACATGTATATACACCTCTACATAACACAAACTATTTACAAAAGCGCATTTAACAGTGTATTTATCACGACGTTCAGATCAAGTAACGTGAGTAAAGAAAGTGAACTGATTTCCAGGGGTTCATTCAACTTTGATTAGGATCATGTAAAAAATTATGAATTCGTGCAAATGACAGAATGATACCTTGAAAGAGACAAAGATTTTCCAAAGTAACATTACGTGATCTGAAGTGTGACAATGAAAAAAGCCGGAGCCCGTTTCTCTCGGTCCCGAAAAGTTTTCGCACCCGGAAAGCCATAGTAAAATCTCAAACCTTATGATTGCAGAGCTGTTTTATTCACATATTCTTAAGATGAACAGAGGTTCTCTTCATACAAGAAATCTCAGGCGTACACACTTCTCCGTTTTTAGATGCACATGAACTAAAAATGGCTTTACGGACCGGAAAAGTTTCCGGGGCTTTCGAGAAACGGGCCCCAGATTGGAATGCTAGAGTGATTTCACAAAACCCGAAAACAAAAGAACTATCTGGACGTACTGCCGGCCTATGAGGTTTTTGACGGTAATTTGCTTCTACTCCCGGGCTTTTGTAAAATCTTTCAAAGCCGCTTGCACTATGACGCCATTACTACCAGAATTCATATAATTTACTTCCTGGTCACATGCCCCATCAATTTCGACTTTTTTAAAATCAGTTTTTAATTTTGAACATCTATATTTTAATTTGTATCCGTTAGCTCTCATCTTGGTCGGTTTCATTCTTTGTGAAACAATCAGTAATCTTGAACACAGAGCCGAAAGGCTCCTAGGTCAGTGATTGGCTACTTGGCAACCAACTGCTGACCAAGAGGCCTGTAGACTCTATGTACAAGATTGCATAGTCGGTGACAAAAAAGCCAATCCATAAAGAAGCACTCACATGGTTTCCAATAGACCATATTCGTATTCTCGGAATAAGACAGGAACTAGCTGACAACTGAGGCTAATGCGAGGAGTCTTTCCAATGCAAATGACATTAATCTCTTTTTAATGATATTGCTCATAGTTGAGCCTCCATTTCATGCTAGTTCCAGTTCAATACCGAGGGTACAAATATGGCCTATTCTTATCATTCAATCTAACAACAACAGCAAACAAAACATACACTCTACTTCACCCAGCCCATCTTCTCACCATATGATCTATCACGCACTACAATTGCTTTTGGAATTCTCTGACCATACTGACTGCAAGCATTGGGCATTTTCCTGACAGGGGTCGACCAACCAACATAGAATTTTCTTCTCTTGACTGTAATTGTAGTATTGACTGAGTACGCACGGAATACCAACTGCTGCGTTTAAAGTCTAGTGTCTAAAGTAACAACTTTCCCAAACATAATATTGCATATAGCAAGCAGTTGTATAATCCCATTGGAAACGGAGTAATGAAACGCCTCGGTGAACAATGAAATGGTAATTTTACTGACTAAACAACAAGCAAAAGGTGTTTTGAACAAGTCCATTTCAGCATGCAGATATAACAAATACTAATACCGAAGAACTATTTATTTTGGGCTATACCACATAAGGTAAAAAATTACTATGGATCTCACAAAGTTCCTTCCAAATTAAGCAAATTGAACAACCATATTTATCATTGTAAAACAAGCATTACACTTGAATTGGAAAATTCATTAACCATATTGAAAATCCTATTTACCCTTTCCAAACCAAAAACCAATTTACATACAATTATATTGCTCTAAAATTGCATAACACGTCTAAACATAGTTCATATATTGGTGATAAATGAGAACAACTTTTGTAAAAATGCTATGATTTGGAGTCTTCATCACTGGATTTATCTTTAGCAGCACCTTTCTTGAGATTCTCCAAGTATTCCTTTTGGGATTCTGCCAAAACTGCAGCCAGAATGCTTTCATCCTCCCACTCTGAAAAACCTGCAATCACAAAAACAAATAAAATGGTGTTGTCAAAGTAAATGAGTTCGACAAGTGTTCCTATGGCTACTCTATGGTCTAGCTCATGCAAGGTCATTGCCCCTCTTTTTTTAAAAAGCATTATCCTTCGAGATGCAATATTCCAATATTGATTTTTACAGCAAATTTTCGATATCACAACTTTAGATTTAAACAGAGCTCTGACATTTTCCAATACATGCCCCTTATCTGTAATAAACAACAGAACTTTCAATAGACGTTGTTTTCTGCTGACTGAAGAATGAAAGAAGCGGAAAACCTTTTTCTCACACACATCTGGGAATCTGACTGCTGGTGTGCAGAGGGTCATATCACCTCCCACCAACTGACCCTTATAACTAACCACCTGCCTACCCACCCTTATAACAAACCTCCCACCTACCCACCCTTATAATGAACCTCCCACCTACCCACCCTTATGACTTGATAATTTTTGTTTGCTTCTCGAAGCCATTTAGTTCTCTTTTTGTTCTTGTGAAGCTCTTCTGGGCCATTTTTGTTAACAGGTAGAGTTCTTTGCAACATGTGATCCTTGGAGCATCTTTTCCTGTTGGTTGCTTTCTTGACCTATTTTATTTTTTTTTGCAATAAAGATCTGGCTGCATGGCTCCTAGTTGTGTGTGAGATGTAAAAATTAAGAGCAGTGAATTACTACTGTCCCTCCCAAGCTATATCCTGCCATCATTCTTACCATATCCAGTCGGAGGCAAATAGTCGAGGTAGTTTGGCCCTTCAGCACCACCAGTTGCCCCAGGGGGAGAGGGTGGGTTGGATGACTCGGTTGAACATCCTGGTTTGGAATCATAGTAAGTTGTTTTCATGCTACTAACTGTACAAGTGGTTGTTGCATTACTTGCAGCTGGGCACGCTTTAGTTTCAGACGAAGAGGTGCTTGCAAATGTCTCGTGCCGAGGGGAACTGGGTGAATGACGAGGGGACTTGCTAGGAGGGGCACTCTCTGCTGCATCACGATCACGCTCCCTGTGGTGGGGAGATGTAGGACGCTTGGACTCAGTGCATGTTGATGTGCTACTGGTTGCAGTTGGACTGGAGCGAGGCTGCAACACAAAATAGGCACAATAAGGTTATGAAATTAACCAATTTTCCTTGTTACTCCACAACTGCTTTTCTCAATTTTCTCATAGAATTACAACCTTGTGAAAACAAAATTTAGTATACAGGGCTCGAAAAACAACTTGAATTCTTGCCCTTAGGACAAGTATCTCTATCTCTCAAATATTGCTTGCCCTGGGCAAGTCTTGGTTAATTGCTCTTTGACTAATTTAGTCGGCAGACGACTTGCCTGATCCCTTGCACATCAATCAGGCAAGTGAGAATGAAAAGGTACTTGCCCAAAAGGAGAATCTTCTTGTTTCGGATGGCTGGACAGGAATTTTTTCGAGCCCTAAGTATGCACATGATAAACAAGTAGAGCAGACATGGTGTACTTAGGTTAAAATCTGAAAAGAAATCAGAGGAGAGTATTACCAAGGTTCTGGTTCCCCTAGCACGTTTCTCCCTGTCCCTGAGCCATTCCAAATATGATTCTCGTGCTACTGCTTCCTCCATAGCCTCATTTGTTGCTTCCCAATCAGTACAACGAAGTTTATCTGCCAACATTTGCTACATAGCAATATAATATGACAAGAGACAAGTCAGATACATTCAACACTTGGATTGTAAAAATATTTTGCTCAAAGCCTACACATTTGGTCTACTTTTAGTAAAGACGATGTGGATACATTATAAAACTACTTGTAGCTAAATGTAAATAAATTTCTACTTATAATTGCATGTACAGGGTGATTAATGCTTTGTGCAAAATTATGGCCCATCTAGGGCCCAGTCATTCAAAAGATGAATACTGCCATCCACAGAGTGGGTAAACTGATCACCATGCAGTGGATAATAATAACAGTTCAAGACCTAGTATTGACCATTATGCTTTTTGTGCATCTGTTGCTGGTTTGGTTTACATGATAGTCAGGTTTCTATTGTTTTGTCATTGTTGTGCAAAACACAATGCATCCTGGCCAGAACTGGGTCTTCACCGACTATATTTATTTATCTATTGGATTTTAATTTACAGAGTGGATAGTGTTATCTATTCCTTTGAAAAACAGGGGCCTTGTTGCTTATCATTCTCTCCATCTTTTGAGGTAATTTTTACATGGAAGCTCATAATCAATTTGCAAACAACATGACAAATAATTACCTGCTCTATGTGCCAATCCTCTGACTGTTTAAAAGCATCATTAACCAGGGTCCCCTGAGAAAAACAAGATGAAAGATTAAATTTTAAAATAAGCTACCTTATCAATTAGTCAATCATTGGACGCTTTGATACACTTTCCCCTGCAAATAACTTCTTCTTGCCCTGCGTTACAAGCATGGGCATTTCCCATTTGGGTCACAAAAGCCTGTGTTTACTCACACTAGAGCACTGATTCAATATTGTTCACTTGACCAATAATTCCATATTACATTTGATCACACAGTTTAATCTATATGTCCTGTTTCACTTTCTTGAAATAAATCCACGGTCATTTTGTATTGTTTGGGGAAGGGCATAAGGATACACATGTAAACTAATCAGTCATTAGAGCCGAGTGCAAAGCTATACATCAGATGATATACATGGTTAGATCTACTGATAGACTTGTAAGAAATTTCCACTTAAAATTTTTGCCTCTCTACAAGCTTGGACAGAAATGTCACTTAAGACACTTCCAAAATTTCTTTTCACCAAATACTAGCATCTTGTTCATACAACTCCCTCCACCACAAAAAATAGTATTATTTTCATTGAATGTTAAGGAGCAAAAAAAAGAGGGGGGGAGGGGGGGAAGAAGCATTTTCCCACAATATTAAACTACAGTAGTATCTTAATGACCATTATAATTATGTACAAGACAATCACTTATCTCAGCTAATATCACCTAAGACTGCACAAGGAAAGAAGAATGCTTAAGGTTTAGACTATCACAGATCACAATAATTAGACTGTATAATTTGACACCTGTAACTTCTTACTAACCGGGTGTGAGGTCCATATTGTAAGTTGCGGGCCAAGATTTTCCCCCATTGATTTATGGCCCAAGAGCAAAGCTCGTGGGCGATAAATTGAATGGGAAAAAAATGAGGAGCCGTAACTTACAGTACAGACCAAGAGGACGAGGATAGTAAGATATATATTATATCTCTACTGTGTGTCTGACGAATTTGGGAACGATTTCTATTCATGTGGAATGGCTTCAAATTTCTGACGCAAGTCAAAAGCAAAATGAGTCAATTTGAAATTGTTGTTAAGTCATTAGCGCATTTTAATACACAATTTCAGGTAAAAGAAAGTTCTAAACCTTTACTTACTATAAAAGTTCAGAGAACTTGGTGATAAATCACCAAACATTTTCACAACAAAAATAGCTTTTAATTGTAGTGGGCCATACGGTAGAATATGGCCCGCTAAATTGACCAATAACAGTGCACGTAGTAACTGAGAGATCTAATAAGTACTCTTACTGTTCACTCACCCATGGTTTGTACCCAGAAAGTCCTAGTCCCACACCAACAGAAGGCTTGTTTGGATTAAGGACTGCATTGTAGTGCACAGAGTTATGGTAACTTAGGCGGATTGGTTCATAATCAGTCTTGTAGGAACTATGAAAGATGTTGATGGGTTCTGCACAGAGAAGGGAATGACATGAATGACATGAATGACATTAGTGCTACATGTATAATATACATCCAGCTAAATATAACTGCCTTGGAAGATGCTCGACTACCAGTTGTCCCTCTTTCGCTTAGTCCTTTGAGCAAGACCGTAAATAAATCACAAGGAAAAAGGGCTGCATGAAATCCTGGCAGAGAGAAGCATCTGAAAGGAGGGACTACCGACAAAGCTAACGAGTCTTGGAAGATGCAAGCTCTTTCATCCTGACTGATTCAGTTATCATGAATTATCTATCAACTTAACCCTTTACCCCCTAAGGCGAACGGCAGTTTTTCCCAAATCGGCAAATAAAGACACTCTGCCTGTGTACAATATGCCATTTGAAAGCCACTAATCAGCTTATTTAAGAATTGGCATCAGCAGCTATGAAGGAGGTAGACATTTTGAGAGAAATTGCTTTAAAATGGGAAAATGAACGACTTCAAAAATGTATCAATCTTCTACTATATTAGGTACACCCCTAAACTATAGCTTATTTAGCAGCTCTTACGTGTAGTGCATAGCTTGATATGAAACAAGTCTTGCATTCCATTTGCATCCCGAAAAAGGAACTAAAAACTTCTGGGGGTGGTCAACCATGTCTTGGATGGGAGGGAGTCAAAATTTTATGACTTCAATGAGCAGATCTTCACAAGACAATTTTCATGGCAAAAATTCATAGAAATCTATCAAATACTCACAAAGTTATGACCTTGTGTGCCAATTTGCACTCTTAGGGGGTAAAGGGTTAAGCTGACAAAGAGAAATTTACCACAGTAGCAGGTTTTTGAAGCTGACACTTTGTTCTCAGCCTTTCCCCCCTAAACACTAGCTACACGTTATTGTTTCACTAGCCTTCCAATGCAGCAAAACAGGTTCTCCAGAGACTGAGTATGTTGCTAACTAATGTTTTAGGAAATTCTTGAACTTTCATTGTGAATTTTATTCAGACGTGAATTTGTGTTTTTGATTATTTTAGGAGACAAACTCGAAAGGGATAACCTCTTCTGTCTCCTTTTCACCTTTCATTTAATTTCATTTGAATTTGAATTGTGAATAAACAGTTATGTTATGTTATGTTATGTTGTGTTATGCTAACTCAAGTACAGTGAAAGAGGATGCTCTTTCGCCTGCAATTTTGCAATATTTCAATAATGATTAGAAATTTGCCTGAAAACTTGTAAATAATTATTCAGTTCAATTTTCTCATGCAAGTTGCCAAGCTCTGCCCCTGGTTTCAAGTTTTGCAATTCAAAATTTGCTCTGGAAATTACACAGTTTGACAATGTGATCTCAACCTGTTACTAATTTCTTGCATTTTGTTGATAATCACATTGGCAAAGACAAAGAAGTGGTGCAACTTCATCTCTCTTTGCGAATTCAAAGAACGCTGAAGATGTGAATCATAGCATGTGTTCCTGGGGCAACTTAACAATATGGTAATTTTTAAGTAGTTCAAACCCACCTGTACTATATTGATAGACTTCAATTGTCCTGTTATACATCTCACACATGGCCTGCATTTCAATGTGGTTTCCGTGGCAGTGATTTTCACGCTTACGCTTGATATAGCTGTTAAAGTCTTCAGTAACATACTGTGAGAAGTAGTCTGCATTCTTCAGCTAGAAAATAAAAAAACAAATAATATACAGTCGAAACTCCGCTAACCGCACCCCTACCTCGCCATAATGGCCATCTCTCAACAACAGCCACTTTCCTCTGTCCCCAAGGTGGCCAGTGTGGAGAGGTTTGACTGTATCCATGTATAACACAAGGTGAGGGCAGAGTCTGCATTTGAGACTAGCTAATGATCTTAAGAGTATTTCTCCTCCCCCCTGGATGGGATGCTTGTCCATCTCAGGTTACGTGCCCTCCCCCACAGTTTTTAACTCATTTTATTATATCTCTCAGTTAGTACGTGCGCTGTGATTGGTCAATTTAGCCGGCCTACTCTCCTGTATGGCTCACTAACTAAAGTTGGTTTTGTTGCTAAACTGTTACGTGATTTATCGCTAAGTGTTCTTAGCTTTTATAGCAAGTGAAAGTTTAAAACTTTCTTATACTCTAAATTATGTAATAAAGAGTGCTAACGGCTTAAAAACAGTTTCAAACTGACTCGTTTTGCTTTCGAGCTAGGTCAGAAATTTGAAGCATCTCCGATTCCATGTGAATACAAATAGTTTCCGAACCTGTCAGGGACACAGTAAAGATATGATAAATATCTTACTAACCTCGTTTTCTTGGTCCGTACTGTAAGTTATGGATCCTCGTTTTTTCCCATTCAATTTATGACCCGCGTGCTTTGCGCTTGGGCCTTAAATCGAAGGGGAAAAGACTCAATCCGTAACTTACAGTACGGACCTCGAACTTGGTTAGTAAGAGGTATGTATTTTTATTGTATTTTCTAGTTTATTGTATTTTTACTGTATTTGTATTGTTCACTGAAAACCCATTTTTGGGAGTGTGCAATAAAGTTTCATTCCTTCACTCATTAAATTGCCAGTACCTCCACCTAGTAGGTGGAATGAGACCTGCGTAGTGATACCAAAGTATCTTGCTCAAGAATGAAAGCCCCCTGTTTGAACTCAAACTGCTTGATGCACTACCCATTCGGACCAGCAACTCCCTACATACATACATATACAGTCAAACCTCGAGTATCCACACTCGTTGCGACTAGTCCGGATAATCAAAAATATGAATCTTAATGAAGAACAAAACTGTTTAAATAAAGCAACATTTATTTGTGAAACAACACTTTTACAAATCGTTTGGAAAACGATATGGTCTACTGTACATCTTGAACCACTCAACTCTGAGCCAATCAAAACTCATTTGAGTGTTTTTCATTAGTTATGACACGTGTGAGCGCTGCTTTTGCTCTTTAAAAGCAAAACAGCCTCGCTTTTGACTGCACTTTTCAATGCTATAGTTTTAAAACTAGTAGTAATTGTAGATTAAAGAGTACCTTCGAGTTTTGGTAGGCTTGGTATGTTAAAAAAAAATTCTAGGGGCAGCATTTTGTGCCTGAGCTGTTAGGTAGGCATAAAATTGAACTCCCTTCAGCAGGGGCAAAAACAAATGAATTGACTGGAAAGCACGTGCATACAAGAGGGTTTGCTCTCGTTTATACAAGTATTGTGTAATATTAGTTACGACTGGTCAGTAAAAAACAGGGACTGCAGTCGGGAGGCTGCATTTAGTCTGCAGTCCCCATTTTATACCTGAGTCTGCAGGCGTTTTATGCCCAGTCCGTAATGCTGAGTCTACGTTTTATATAAGTCTGTGTTTTATACCCAGTCCGTAGTCCGTAGTCTGCAGTCCGCAGTGCGTGTTTTACACTGACAGTGTAAATCGACACCAACCATGTTTGTTCCGTTGGTACTCCAGACGACATGCTTTTATTGCCAAAACTAGGACAATTATTTTGTTTACAAACATGACTTTGAATTGCCTTGGCTTTGGGGTAACAGCTATTGGGCATTTTCACTTCCAAAACAATGAAAGAGAGGACATGTTGGTGTACCAAAGCAACCCTTTATTCATGACAAAATTGGGACTAGAGAAAAATTCCGGATAATCGAGAAATCCAGATAATCGAGGTCTGGAGAAACGAGGTTCAACTGTACCTGTAATCAGAGGTTTCACAAGTTGATTGTTGTGCTACTGACAGAAAGCTCTAAAGGGCAAGATCTAAGAAGAGTAGATGTTGTAAGAGAGAAGTAGGGTCTATTTAAGGTATCTTTCCCAAGAACATAACTCAATGACCCCACACATAAAATAAGGTCTGACCTTGAAAACAAACTACAACAAAAGGACATGGAAGTCGGCTCAATGATCAATGTACTCTACGTACCATGTAATCCATACAGTGTCTTCTAACTTCTGAATGCATCTCTTGATCACCATATACCTGATCAGCTGAAAACAGAATGTAAGTATTGTGTCCTTAGCTGTCGAAAACCAAATAGGTTTTCCTTCTTTAAGTCACTTATCATTTACCAAAAGGTAGAATTTAAAACCCTAATGAGCAGGGCAACTTTGACCAGCTTGGAAGAATTTCAAAACCAAAGTTCCATTGTAACGACTGCCAAACACTAAGTAACTACCATTTATACATTGCGAATGCAGCTTACATGGCTTGGAAAGAAAGAGCCTTGAATGACCTTCTAAAATATTACCTAGCCCTCTCCCTCCCTTAAAAAAATATGCACCTTTAATCTGAGATAAAGTTCCCTACTTATTTTGTATTTTATGCCAATTACAATGTTCAGGGTTCAACATTTCCAGTTATTTTCTTTTGCTTGCTAAAAACACAATAATGATAAGAAACTTGTCTTGGGAAAAGTCTGTACAAATTAAAGTGCTTGCTGTTTTCACAGAAATGTTTGCACTGCTGGTATCAATCGACTACCACAAGTTGGTCCACAGTTGGTCCAGAATTGAGAATACAGATGCTACTTCCATTTGGAGTGGACCCAGGGAGAAAGGATCAGGGTTTTCAAAATAAGTCGGTGCCTGAAGTAAGTCACCGGCTACTTTAAACATTTGCACTGGGTACTTTTTGTCACAAAGTAAATACTGTTTATTAATGCTCAGTTTTGTTTCACCCACAAAATCACGATCTGATCTTTCTGAGGAAATACATGAACAGGTGAAAAAATCAGACTATGCTGCCTTTTATGCAGTTGCCTCCTACAAATCACTAGTGTGTGCTTGAAATGCACCAGCATGCATCTAAACACAAACTTTTCAAACTTTTTCAGGATCAGCAACCCATCCCTGGTCCCATGCAGGAAAAGGTAACCAACTCCAGCACTCTTTCACACCTGGCTGCCTTGATCACAAGCAAGGAGTGCTCTGCCTACTTTACAATTTCCTCCTATTTTATTTCAGTTAGAAAACCCTGAAGGATATAAATGTTGGGAGCAAGGTTGGATTTACTGACACATGCAGCTGACTGGTAGATGTTAAACATTGTAACCGGCATAGTGGCAAGTGGCAGTGTTAAAGAAATGTTGCACCCTGTGCCACCGTTCATTTGATGACTGTACAAATAAGTTTGTTTCTAGCAGTTAGATATTTAGAGAGTTTTATTGCGCAGTGTTGCTACATGAATGTATGTGCACCTAGATAATTTTTTCAGACAACAAGCATAAACTCAACCAATTTTGATAAGAGAAATTCCCTGCCAACAATAAGCCATACTAGAAATCACCTCTCCAAAATTCAGCCTCGTCAAATAAACTGTTCAAGCAAAAAACAATAACCCCAAAAATATAGGTGCAATTGGAATTTAACAGCATACTGAAACTTGAGAGGAGGAAATAAAACTTCTTCAGTAATATGCCATTTTGTCAATATTTACTGCACACAACTAAAAACCTGATTTTTTAACATTTTTCTTTACAAGATTGTTCATCTAGCCCTCATATTTTAGTAAATAAAGTAATAAAAGGTTGTTTGAACCAATTTGGTCTTCAAAGGTATCCTCGTCAAGTTCATACATTTAAACAAGAAACAAAGACTAAGGAAATATTAAACAGGTTCTCTCAGCTGCAGTGCTAAATGTAGGGAAAAATGCAAACATAATTTTTAAGTTGACTGTAGGGCTAAAAGGCTAAATAGAAAAGTCAAGCAGGTACTATATTTAGCCACGAGTAGGTACCTTGCACATGTGATATGCAGTCTTCTACAATTCCTGATTCTTGGTGAGCCAAGGGAGGCTTTAAATTACTTTCAATTTTTCTGCCGTTTGAAGAAACTTGATATAATCGAAACAAATGCCCTTCGTACTCAAACGTGTCGACAAAACAACTTCTTAAACTTGCTTAAATGCAGGACTATTATATCAGATATGCGAACAAGCTGTTATACGCTGCATGTACAATGGCTTACAAGCAGAAAGGTACGTGAAGGAAAGATGATATTTTCTCCTCTTCCCCATTGTATTAACACAAACAATTCTGAAAAAATGAAAAAAAAAAAAAGAGAAAAAAGAAAAAAAAACCAACAAAACTCCAAGGGTGGAGGAAAGTGTTGGAGCTTTGTATCATGACGTGAGATGATTAATATAGGGAGAGTTTTTAAATAATTACGTACCGACCGCCCGAAATAAACAAGCACCATCTTGTGCCATTTTCTTGATTACAAAACCTTTCTTTTCCTTTAAAGCCTGCTCAAACTGTCTCTCCACCTTTATGGAATGAAAACAAAACATAAGACTCAGCGTCAATACACGAGTATTTTTCCCCCAGAGAGATAAAAATGACGACGGCACGAACCTCCTCAGACGACAGAGGTTGTTCTTGAGTACAATCGTGTTCATCGGAGCTGTTGTATCCTGTCTCTTCGTTGTGCCGTTCATGGTATTTATGGCGATGAGGAGGGCTTCTGTGTCGCCTTTTAGAGCTACTAGAAGCTACATCGGCCGCCTCTCTGCTCTCAAAACTATTTCCAAGGTACTGTTCTTCGCTGAGACCTGAGTACTCTTCGCTCGAGCGATTTCTTTCTGTAACGCTGGTCGACGACGACCAAGGCGAATTTCCACGTATTCGCGCTCTGTTGTCGCTGTTTGAAGTCGTATCAGTTTTCTTTGATTCCGAATGTTTCTTCTTTGGTAAAATAGTCATGATAGAGCAATAAAAAAATGGCTAAAACAAAGAAAACACCACAAGAATCCAAAACCCTTTCAGTGTTGTTAGAATTAGAAAGTTCTGTGATCAGCGGTGTGACGTCACCAAATGATATATGCGCGGAGGAAATGCGCATGAAAATCTGGTACCCAACATGGCGCGGCCGCGGCGCCGTTCTGGAATTAAGCCGGATGGATGCCATTGGGCACAGCGCGTCTCCAGGAAACTTCGCTATAAATTCAGTCACAACATCACTAAGCTACTAACTTACAGATTCCTTGGGGTCTATATAGATACCAAAAAAAGCAAGCAGATACAAAGAGGGGGTTTTATGCTGAAAGGGTAAAGGGATATTTTTTGGACTAACGGGTGTCTGCACTGTATTGCAGGAACAATTTTGAGAAAAAATTTAAAGTCTTCATCAAAAGAAGACTATTCAAGTCCCCGTGGAATGTCTCCTAGACACGGGTGGGGGGGGNAGGGGAGGGGAGGGTATGACCACAGAACTGCCAAGGTAATAGTGTGTTTCAGTAAGTGGTTGCATTGACTCTTCCAGGTTCTTCTGTAGCTGCCTGTACTCTTCGTGAGAGGAAACTATGACCTTAGTTAGCTAGTTTTCAACACGCCATGCCAAAATGGAACTTGGAAATTTTAGCTCAACTGTTGTGCTATTTTAGGCTAATTAACAACTAGAGTAGTCCAACGGAGACCAGAAGGTAGAAGAGCTGTAGGAAGACCTAGAAAGACCTGGAGGAGGACAGTAGAGGAAGAGGGGCGCCAGGCTGCGTGGAATGACATGAACACCGTGAGAATGGTAGCCAGGGAGAGGGCACAGTGGAAACAGAATGTTATGGCCTTATGCGCCTATTGGCATAAAGAGCAGTGATGATGATGATGATGATGATGATGCCCAACGCGCTACTGCAGCTACGACTTATGCGCTACGACCAAGGTGACGAAGCCGCGAGAGACGAGTCGGCGAGGGAAGAGAGTTGCTCGAGCCAGTCCGCTTATCTCTCGCGGCCTCACTGCTTGTGCCCCAGCCCGTGATGAGAGCCTAGCCGCAGGCTAGTGCCCAGTTTTTGCCGGATGTCTTGACCTGAAATGGTAAAGTGGCGTAATAGCGGAATAATAATAGTAAATAGTGGTTGAAATCATTACACTGCGATTTTCATTGGTTCGTCTTTTTTTTACTATCACTGTCAATTGTCCTTCTTCGCTGACTGCACTCTAAACATCGGGGTTTGAGCACCAAAATGCGGTCCTATGAGGCCTCTAGGCGGGGCAGAGGGTACAAAAACACCCCGTGGACTACCCTGGCTACAGATAAGTGCAAAACGAAGTATGACACCCTTGCCTAGTTTCTGTACGGCTTTCTCTCAAGTCTTCACGGTCAATTGATTTTGGTGACACACCAGAGACGAACGGCCGGGAGTACTGTTCGCTGCCCTAACCCACACGTTTCTTCTTTTGAAAGGCAGAAAAATGCCTGAAAAACTTTTAAGTTTTTCAGCTGAAAGTTAAAACTTTCACTTGTCTAGTTTGTTGCCAGCGAGCAAGTAGAGGTCTATTTGCACTCTCCTTTCATTGTGCAACAATGTTTATTGATTACTCCAGGCTTTAATTATTTTCAACTTTTAAAAATAACACATGCATTGTGATACATTTATTTATTTATTTAAAGATTGGTTCTCAGAATTTAGCCTTACATCAAGACAAAATTGTTAAACTCAATCATCTGCGGGTCTTGGGCATCCAAATCGTTATCCCTTAATACAAGACACGTTCCAGAATAAAAACGTCTTGCAAATGTAACCCTTTTTTCCGGTTGTTATCATTGCAGAAAAGGAGTAATATTTCTCAAACTCATTAATAATTCATCAAATTAAAACAAAGAAAAAGCACAACCGTGAAGGTTTCGATACCCGGTTTTAATTAGCATAGATTTTGACAATTTTACTTCTCCGTTTACTCCTTAGTTTTTGTTTCGATTGAGAAGATGTATCAAACACTCAAGACAGTGTTCCAGCGGCTATCCAGACACCTCGAATTTCGTCAAAAATAATTTGTTGTTCGTCTTATTTTTAACTCTCTTCTCGATGTTTGGATATCCCGATGAAACAGAGTCTTTCGTGTTTGGTATATCATATCAAACACGAGCGCCAGAGTTTCATCACATTCCCAAACACTTGCAGAGGAGAGAGAGGAAAAAAAAGGTAGTGGAGTATATTTAAAGAGCTTCGAGATGTTTGTAAATGTGATGAAACACAGGCTCGACTTTTTTTATATATATCTTCTTAATTGAAACTTAAATTACAGGGGAAACGTCGGCAGAAATAAAATCGTAAAAAATGTACCGAACTATCGAGAAGAGGCGACATTTGAAGCGAGGCGGAGTATTTAAACGAACTTCGAGATGTTTGAAAATGTGTGAGCGAACACTATCAGTTTTAGCACCATCACGGTGAAGATTTCTTTAGTCTTCAATCGATAAATTACAAACAAGTTTGAGTCTGTTGCTTAACGATCTTTCATGTAACATGTGACATCGAAATTTTGGCCCCTTTTAATTTTAAAAATGTTTGAAACTAAACAACAGCAAAAAAGAAGTCAAGAATATCTGGACATTTTAGACGTCATATCGAAAACGGTCTTGCTTCCACCTAACGTCACGCAACACTTTCCCAAGCAATGTTATTCAATTGCCCTTTTCAATGTTGGATGTGAAAAAAAAAAGGTTTTAATATGATTAACTCTCAAGTTTCTCTTTTAATCTATCGTGACGATGATCCACTGACCACAAGGGTGGTAGGTACTGAGGGCACATAGTGTCTAGAAAATGCTGCCTCCATGTTTTCTCAAACTCGAGTAGTTTTCCTTCCTCGCGAACCTTTTTCACGACTTCCTGGCCATGCGACACAAAATTAGAGTTCTCCCTGCGGGTCTCCATCGTTGCGGCTTCTGCAATCATTTCTGGAGTCAAATCGGAGGTATTAAAATGCTTCTGAACGATCAGCATGAGTTGCTGGTGCCTGTCGTGCGGGAGTTTATCCCCAGCATAATTCAATGCTTTAGCAGCTGACTTGACTTTCTTTAGCTCTGGGTCTTCAATAAGGCGAGCCACAGTAGCATTTCCTGACAATAGATAGACAAAACACACGAGAACATGAGAAAGAAAATTCCACAAGTTCTTGGACGATGTGGCGACTGATGTATCGTGTTTTTTTTTTTAAGTACAATGGAACCTCGCCTTACGGTCACCTCGTTATTACGGCCACTTTTTTGTCCCAGCGAAACGTCCGTAAATTTTCTTATAAGAAAACCCCGTTAATGTGGGCACCCCGTTGATACGGCCAACGGACACATTTTGAAATCCCAACCTGTATAATACTTTTTTAATTTTACCCCGCTTATACCAGTATTGTTCATCTTTCCATTGTCACTATTTCATGTACTGGTTTCAATTTTTTTTTTAGATTTTATGTTCCGAATGCTTACTAAAGAGCAGTTGCTTAGAAGTGCAATTGTGATATACTCTGTTACTCTGTTAAACTTCACTCAATTTAGACCAGTCATGAAGTTTGACCCTACCCCATTAATACGCCCACCCCGTTTTTACGGCCAAATTTTTGTGGCACGTTGATTACCGTGTTAATGGAGTTGCTCTGTATGACTGATGGCTTGCTATAGAATTGCTTACATCTTGCAAAAAAAAAAAAAAAATTATCATGATCGTACATATGCGACAAAGCTACAGACTGGAGTTTTAAGAACACCAACCAATAATCAAAATATAAATTCTCATTGCAACACCGATACATTATCAGGCAACCAGGTGATGAGAATAGAGAAAATCATCAACAAAGTAATATTGTCTTGATGTACCATTAAATTCTTAGAACTGATATTAAAAGAACTAATGCTGTCAGTAACGAGAATTATTACATTCTGAGCTTGGGACTGAAGGGGTTAAACTTATGTGATAATTGTAATCTGATTAATATGACGTCTCACAAAAAAGCCCAAAAGGAGATTGACCTGGAAAGCCCACAGCAGAGCAACTGGTTTTGTGACGCACATCGCATAACGGGCTAGTGTCACGCTGTGAGTGACACAACCCTTGTTGAGCATAGAAGCAATTATTTATTTATTTCTGTGAGCAAAAACGTACTTTAACTTAACCGCCTGGTTTATGCTTCGTTAAAACTTTGTTACAGTTAGATAGAAACCAGCAAAAGGTTTGAATCACGGACTTTATGAAGTCGAAAATGATATGATAACTCTACCTGAATATGATCCAGTTTTTGCAATTTATGCTCGCTTAAAGGGATAGGTCATGTAATTTTAGCAGTGACCAGCTCCTGATCACAGGATTAACTGAAATATCACAGCCAACAGTTTAGAACTGTAGACGAACTCAAAAGAGAGCCAAGCGAAACACAGAAAGAGGCGTGCATAGGTAAAACTGCATAACATAATGATTAATAACGGAAAGCATTCGAGTTAACTCGAGAGTCTACAGAAATATTTTCAAACATAATCATCCTTGTTTGCAATGTGACAGTGATTTTCCCGACAAAATACCCCTGTTTTGCCAATTTCAAGTTTAACTTCCCGCTAAATCGAAGAAATATCAATATCCACTGATAGTTCGAATTACATACATACTTACGTACAACCTTTATTTAAACACGATTGCATGTCACAGCTTTCAGCTTGTGGGGTTGTAGGGTCTATGCTTAAAGCACATGTCAGCTGTTTGGTTAGAAAATAGTAACATAGTATCATGGTATCTGTTCATATCAGGATCTAAACTTTTTGTCAATATTATAACATTTGGAAAAGTGATTCAGGTCCCTGAAAGCCTAGAAACATGATAATTGAAATCCAGGTTCGCCGGAGTTAGCGGGATTCTCCCGTATAGCATCACTTTCTGGAGTTGCTTCTTTCTGATAGAGAAAATGGGTGCTTTCCATTAAGCTAAAGATTCCGGAAATTTCGGTCAGAATTCAAATGGAAAGTTCCGTTTCGGTGTCTGCCGACC